GATGGGGATTTCATTGAATCTGTAGATTGCTTTTGGTAGGATTGCCATTTTTACTATGTTAATTCTGCCTATCCAAGAGCATGGGAGATCGTTCCACTTTCTGGTATCTTCTTTAATTTCTTTCTTTAAAGACTCAAAATTCTGATGATACAGATCTTTCATTTTTTTTGGTTAGCATTATCCCAAGGTATTTTATGTTGTTTGTGGCAATTGTAAAGGGTGATGTTTCTCTGGTTTCTTTTTCAGTGCATTTATCATCTGTATATAGTAGACTACAGATATTTTTGAGTTAATCTTGTATCCTGCCACTTTGCTGAAGGTGTTTATCAGCTGTAGGAGTTCCCTGGTAAAGTTTTTCGGGTTACTTATGTAGACTATCATATCATCTGCAAATAGTGAAAGTTTCACTTCTTCCTTTCCAATTTATATCCTCTTATCTCATTTCATTGTCTTATTGCTTAAGCAAGAACTTCAAGTACAATTTTGAAGAGATATGGAGAGAGTGGACAGCCTTTTCTTGTTCCTGATTTTAGAAGAATCAAGTTGAGTTTCTCTCCATTGACTTTGATGTTGGCTGTTGGATTACTTTATATTGCTCTGATTATGTATGTTGGCATGTACAAGACTGCAGATAGATCCATATCTATTGCCAGGCATAAAACTTAAGTCCAAATGGATCAAAGACCTCAACATAAATCCAGCCACACTGAACCTATTAGAAGACAAAGTGGGAAATACCTCTGAATTAATTGGTACAGGAGAACGCTTCCTGAACATTACACCAGTAGCACAGACACTGAGGTCAACAATTGATAAATGGGACATCCTGAAACTGAGAATCTTCTGAAAGGCAAAGGACACAGACAGCAAGATAAAATGGCAGCCCACAGAATGGCAAAAGATATTCACCAACCCCACATTTGACAGAGGGCTGATCTCCAAAATTTATAAAGAACTCAAGAAGCTAGTCACCAAAACACCAACCAATTCAATTTTTAAAAATGGGGTATAGAACTAAATAGAGAATTCTCAATAGAGGAATCTAAAATGCCTGAAACACACATAAGAAAGTGTTCAACATCCTTAGCCATCAGGGAAATGCAAATCAAAACAACTCTGAGATGACATCTTACACCCATCAGAATAGCTAAAATCAAAAGCACCAATGACAGTTTATGTTGGAGAGGATGAGGGAAAAAGGGTAACACTTCTCCATTGCTGGTGGGAGTGCAAACTCATACAGCCACTTTGGAAATCAGTATGGAGTTTCCTCAGGAAAATGGTAATCAATCCATCACAAGATCCAGCAATTCCACTCTTAGGCATATACCCCAAAGAAGCACATTCATACAACAAGGACAGCTGTTCAACTATGTTCATAGCAGCATTAGTTGTAAGCAACCTAGACGCCGCCCCTCAAATAAAGAATGGATACAGAAATGTGTTACACAATGGAGTACTACTCAGCGGGGGGCAGGAGGAGGGGGAAACAATGGAATCTTGAAATTTGCAGGCAAATGGATGGAACTAGAAGAAACCATCCTGAGTGAGGTAATCCAGTCACAAAAAGACAAACATGGCATGCACTCACTTATATATGGATTTTAGACATATAGCCAAGGATTACCAGCCTACAATCCACACTTCCAGAATAGCTAGGAATCAAGGAGGACCTGAAGAGAGACATACATGGTTCCCCAGAGAAAGCACATTGGGGAGGGGAGAGGGAGTTAGCAGAAAGAGACGGGGAGAAAAGGGAGAGGTGAACATGAGGGAGCAGGAAGATTGAGTATGAGTTGGGGGAAGAATAGAGGAGAGCAAAAAAAGAGATATCATAATAGAGGGAGTCACTATAAGTTTAAAGAGAATTCTGGCACTAGGAAAATGTCCAGAGATCTACAAGGATGATCCCAACTAAGAATCTAAGCAACAGTTGAGAGGCTTCCTTAAATGCCCTTCTCTGATAATGAGATTGATGACTATCTTATATGCCATCCTAGAGCCTTCATCCAGTATCTGATGGAAGGAGAAGCAGACACCCACAGCTAAACACTGAGCTGAACTCTGGAATCCAGTTGCAGAGAGGGAGGAGTGATGAGCAAAGGGGTCAAGACCAATCTGGTGAAACCCACAGAAACAGCTGACCTGAACAAGGGGGAACTCATAGACCCCAGACTGATAGCTGGGAAACAAGCATAGGACTGACCTAGACCCCCTGAACGTGGGTGTCAGTTAGGAGGCCTGGGCAATCTATGGGGCCTCTGGCAGTGGATCAGAATTTATCCCTAGTATACAAATAGACTTTGGGAGCCCATTTCAAATAGAGGGATATTCTCTCATCCTGGACACATGGGGGAGGGCCTAGGCCCTGCTCCAAAGGATATGACAGACTTTGATGTTCCCCCTGGGGAGTAGAAAGGGGATTTGATAGGGGGCTGGTGGGAGCCAAGCGGGGGATGGGAGGGAGAGAGAACTGGGATTGACATGTAAAACAAGTTTGTTTCTAATTTAATTTAAAAAAAAAAAGGAAAAAAAAGAATGCCCTCATGGGCTCATAGAGTTGAATGCTTTCTCACCAGGGAGTGGCACTATTAAGAGGTGTGGCCTTGTTGAAGGAGGTGTGGCATTAATGGAGGAAGTGTGTCACAGGGGTGGGCTTTAATGTTTCAAATGCTCAATCCAAGCTCAGTGCCTCTCTCTTGCCTGCTAATCTGGATGTAGAACTCTCAACTCCTTCTCCAGCACCATGTTTGCCTGTGTGCCACCATGCTCACTGCCATCACTCTAATGGACTAAACCTCCGAACTGTATGCAAGCCCCACTTAAATCCTTTCTTTTATAAAAGTTGCCATGGTCGTGGTGTCTCTTCACAGCAATAGGACATTGACTAAGACAAGCAAGTTCTTGGAACTCTCTGATCAGCTAGCCTAGCTGAAATACATGTTTTAAGATCAATGAGAGGCCCTTTCTCAAAAGAATAAAACATCATGTGACA